GCTGTATTGGCTTCTACAGCAGGATGAGTACCATATGCTCCATCTTGTGTGCGCCTCAAGAACCCCTCCCAGCTCCCCAAAGCCCCCCGGCAGCCGTTGTAACAAGCCTCAGGAGAACTTGGCCAGTCCCACGGTGGGTCACCCACACACTTGTTACACCTTTCCATTCATTTCATCATCACCACATTTCCTTTCATCATCCAGCTCACTGCTGTAATGTATGCCTCCCTGAGGATTTGAAAAATATTGCTTGTTTTTTTTCAAGATGAGCCATGAACCATTATGAATATTCAGAACTTATTTTTTTGGTTATAGCCCCTGACAAACTCAAATAGCCCTTCCACTGGTCATCAGCTCCAGTCACCTACAGGGGAGAGCACTGATGGACTCAGACAGCGAGCTGGACCCTTCCCTTATCACCAGATGTATTCACAATATATGCACAGGTAAGCTTCTGGACGGGTGAAACTTTGATAACATCTGCAGTGTAAAGTTACAGGGTATTTTATTTTCACTAAAGCGATTAGAGCAACTAAGGATTAAAAAAAAGAAAAAACGCTTTAAGTGATAATTCCAGACCTATAGATTATTTATCAAATACATACACCTCATTATGCAAACATGACAGCAAATAATGTCTAAAGAAGCACCTCACTCACTTTTACGTGAAGGTCATGACGGCAGTCTTACTACATTGGACCTAGTAAGATTTCCATATGACTATCAACATGGCACGCCTGAATTGAATGCCATCAGATTAACATAAAGGTTGCAGCTGCAGCACAAGATAAAAGCAGAGAGCAAACTGTATCATCTCCTGTGCTAAACAAAAATCAAATCAGTTTAATAAATTTTGAAACACTGAGAATGAGCCCTCTCGCTGTGCTGTGTAAAAGCTTCATGCAAAAAGGATCTAAATGAGAGTTCCCAACTATATTGGAACATCATATAATATGCAGCAGGATGAGACATTTTATTTAATTTCATTTTTTATTTAACTGGTTTAGTTTAGTTTAGTTTAGTTTAGTTTAGTTTAGTTTAGTTTAGTTTAGTTTAGTTTAGTTTAGTTTGCATAGTCAGATTGCACATTCTAGAATTGTTTGTTAAGGATAACCCATGAAAACCAACACTTAGGATAGACTGTATGCTTTTGTCTTGACTGGAAAATGAATTAGGTTGTTGCTTAAAGCTATAGCCACCGATAACGCGTCCTTAGCAGATCTTGTACCTACAGTCATCTGGCAAGTTAAATGTAACTGTAATGCAATGTCTCTTTTTCCAGCTGGAACCAGTATCCTCCACAGTCAACTCCTCCCACAAACATGCCCGCTTATTACAACCCCATGACACTAATGTGGTGGCAGCAGCTGTACGCACGGCAGTACTACTTGCATTAGTAAGTCCCTTCATGTCTCTGTTTTCTGTTTCTGGTCAATGTTTTTTAGAACATTGTTCAAACAACAACACAAACTAGAATTAGCGACTTGCGGTTGTACACCTCCACCAACCAGTCAAATTGCAGTTCACATCCATGTCTGTCTATACTCATGATATATGTAGTGAAGACTTTAAAGGAATTTAATAAAAGGCATTAAGTGCATGAATTTTTAAGATTACATTTACCGAGTAAAATTAATGAAACTAAATGAACTTTACTCAAATTATTAATTTAATATTAATTAATTAATACATTTAAAATTAATAAGTAAAACTGAGTTAAATTATTTAGATTGAATTAAATATACCCAATTTAATTTACTTATTTTGAAATTAATGTAATTATATTAAAAAGTTAAATTGGGTTAAATTTGCTCAGTTAAGTTGAGTGAAATCAATTGAATTAAATCTACTCAACAGACGGATGTACTGATGGACTGAAAACATGATGCCTCCAGTCACAGCTGTCGGCAGCACAGAGGCATAAGAAACGCTGTTTCCCTCCAGCTCTGCTCACATCCTGTTTGTCTCTCTCTCCTTCCAGTCAGCTACTGGCCGCCTCGTCTCAGCACCTCAGGCCAGACCAGCCCTCGACTCAGTCTAACCAGCCTGATCCTCTGAGCCAGCGACCTCAAGCAGATCGCCGTGGCAACGCAGAGGTCCAAATGAATGCCCAGGGAGGGGAGATCCTGAACGAGGAGGAGCTGAACTGGGATTGGCTGGACTGGGTGTACACATTTTCACGTGCTGCGATCTTACTCAGTATAGTCTACTTCTACTCCTCCTTCAGCCGCTTTGTCATGGTGATGATGGCCATGCTGGTGCTTTACCTGTGAGTGATCCTCTTACTTTACCTGTGTATGTGAATCTGCTGCTGCATATCGAGTTGGCATCGGGGCTATTTCGTAAAATGCCTTCCACCTCCAACATGATAGAGAGGTTCTTCCTTGACAAAACTACATCAAAACAGTCTATAAAAATGTTTTGTGTAATATAAAGTTAATTTAAAGGCATTGATTTATCCTAGAGTTTCTCCTGTTATTGTATTGTTGCCAATCTATTACAATTTTATAAGCTTTATAGAAAAACAGTCATTTAGACTAATATATAATATAGCAAAATTCAGGTTATACATTCTCTGTTTTTTTTGTTTCATGTATGAGCAAATAAATTTTGGCACTGGAAACTTGTGAACTGGGAGCTTGATTTGGTTGTTTCTGTCTGCAGGCACCAGGCTGGCTGGTTTCCTTTCAACCTGGAGAACGAACTCCAGCTCCCTGGAGACAGAGCCAATCAGGACGATATGGAGGGAGAGCTACAAAACCACGACTTACAAGAAATGGTCACTACCTTTCTCATCCATCTCAGCTTTACCAAGACCATTACCCTCAGGGCTGATGGGTTTTTTATCTGTAACAATGATTGTTTCTGTAGTGTAATGTTTTCAACCAAGTACCAGTTTCCACATCATTAAATGATTTTCACAGTGTAGTTCAGCAGATGGATTCAGAAAGTGGAAATCAGTTTCAGATGAGATGATTCTATTCCTGATGTTGGTTGTAAATATAACTGAGACTAAAAAAAGTGGCAAAGAAAAACTAAAACGGAAGTTTTTAAATCTTTTCAGAAATTAAAGTTTTCTATAAAAAGACATTAAAAGAAAGAAATGAAAACACTACCATCACTTTTGAGCTTCCAGGGAAACTTCATGAGGGACCAAATAGACTTCGACTTTTGCAATACTTTATCTGCATATGATGAGTCTGCTCAGATATTGAAAGTATTTGCATTAGAGAGCTATTGCTGCTGTTAGCTCAGTGGATATCTAATTTCACAGTCAAATATGTCACATGCATGGTAGTCAAGAGACACTGTACATTACTGCAGTGTGTTCTCATCGTTTGACTTCATGTTGTGTAGGAAGGAGCGATGGATGACGGCTCGGATGATGACGGGGAAAGTGGAGAGGAAGGAGCAGAGGATCCGAACAGCGCTCCCCAAACAGGCTTCCTGTCGTCCACGTGGTCATTCATCATAACCTTCTTCATGTCACTCATCCCAGAGGGGCCGCCAAACGCTGCTAACTGAACCACGGGCACCACGAGCCACGACACTTTTTCCACAGGAGCATGTTCTTTCTTTAAGAGGAGGACTAACATCCTTCCCGCTTTGGGGAACCTCTTTTTCTGTTGCAATGCAGTGTTATAGTTTCCCAGTAGTCTTCTTTACTCCATATCTTAGACTTTGAGCAGAAACACAAATGACTGATCTAACGTGAAAAGAGAAAAAACGGTCACTTTATATTGACCTTTCTTGTTTGTCTGCACAAGGACAAACATGTTGAGCTGTCACATGAAAAGAACATTAGTTGAACTTGTATGAACGAGGATTCCTAGTGATGCCTTGTAAACATAGTGAAAATATTAATAATAATAGTGTCTGCCAATGCATTGTTTCTATAATTTATATATATATATAGGGACAGAAGGCACATTTATAAAGGAAAGTAATTTCAGCACTACTTGTGTTTAACAATATGAATCTCTTTTTTTCTTTGTAAGAAGCTACAATTCTTGTTGACATAGTTTTGTTTGAAATGTAATGATTATTATTATTTTTTTGTAATGGTGGGTGTATTTGAAAAAGGGCCACTTTAGTCCAAAAGCTGAACTTCACAGCAAGTTATCCTGAGTCATGTAGCACCCGTGATAAAGTGACATGAGCGATTTTGGCTTGAAAGTTTATAAAATGTGTCTGAACACATTGTGTACTGTGTTGAAGTGTAACACAGAGTGATGTCGGCTACTGAAAAATGAATCAGTGTACCACTAATTCTCTCAAACAGAATGGAAGAAATGAGTGAGACAGAAGAACTGATCTTTCACCACTAATGGAATATCAAACAGGACGACTGTTGCGTTTTAAGCCATGTGGCGTTGAGCGGACAGGAGACACTTTAAAACTTCCTACTGTTAAAGCACTGCCACAATGCAGAGTTCATGTAGGGAAAGTCCACACACCTCTCAAGTTTGTGAAAATGGCTGCTGCTGTTACATTTATCATGTTGTGTACCAATAATATTCATGTTTATTAAACCTACGTTCATGGTAATGTAGTCATGTGTAAATAATTGTGACCAAGATACTGAGTGTGGGAATTTTGCGGTTGAAAAACAAACTTGTAACTGCTCTCAAAGTATGAAATGTGGACACTGTTTATAAATCTTTGATTTTTGGCATTTCTATATTTCAGTTTCTTATAACTTAACGGCTGATATCCAATACCCGTATCTGCCATAAACTAATCTAGGCTGATATATGTGATATACCTGGTTAATGTATTGGTCCTGCTATAGTTTTGACTGCATTATACATTACAGGAATTCTACACTAGAAATATTGTAAAAACTTTAGGTGGAAAAAAAAGAAAATCTACATTTTTCTCAATGTGATGAGAGTCCAGAGTCCATCTAAGATTGAAGAAGGTGAAGCAAGAGGCAGGCCAACAGAAAGAAGTGTTCACTCTGAGGCTCAATGATTCAAATGAAGACAGAAAGACGTCACCATGTTTCCACTTTTATTGCTTTGCACCATTCTGCCATGACAGAAAAGTCATCATTCAAGCTAACAACAGGATGCACTGTGCTTCACTGACGTTGTGTGTCCGTACATCAGAACAAATGCATTTTTTTACAAAGTGATGTTGGTGTGATGATGGAGGGTAAAACCTCCTTTTTGTTGCCGATATTTTTCATCCACCTCTATTAGCTAAAATATCTGAACTGAGATACATGATGTGAGCACAGGGTCTTTTTTTTAATCAAAATAAACAATATTATGAAATTATAAGTACTTGGTGTACTTGTAGAGCTATAACCATATATGACTGAATTTCAAATTAAGATTTAGTTTTTTACAAAAGAGATGTTTGGCAAATTGTCACAGACTTCAATTTTTGATGTTGACAGTAAAATAATTTGACATTCACTGATCATTCAAAAAAACCAGTACCTCAATATTGATTACAGAGCTTTTATGCTGTGAGCAAATACTAGAGCTGTGACAGTAGAACACGCACACAGAAACAGTAGTTAGGGTTACATTTTTAAAACAGAGGACAGCTCGAGTTACATCGTTTGAGTCGGTGGCTCAAACGTGGAAAAACATTACGACAGACAAGCCTCCGCAAATGAGCCGAGTACTGGTTCCATCTTGTGATGATGGCCTGTCTTTGGCATTTGTGTGCCATCGTGTGTGTACCTGTATATCTGATCTCAACACTTAAATTATCAGTACAAGACTTGCACATTGAAAGAGCTTCGACAAGGCACATAAGCTATTGTCCGTAGAGTCACTGTAGCTACACACAGACAGAGCCGATGAAACAGACACAGAAATCGTTTCACAAATTATTCTTCGCCTGGATATTAGCTAGGTTCATGAGTCCATACGTTGCACGGTATGGAATACTTATTGCTAAAACAGGACTGCACGTAGCAAAATAAGAACAACTTCATAGAATACAATAGTTTTTACATTTACTGTAGAAATATTTTTGCATAAAATGATTTGCAACGCTAGACATACCAAATTATCTTTACACCACACACACACTATAACCAACATTAATACAGACAGTATAAAACGGGTGCGACTAACTGGGGTCACAAATATTCTCTCTTTTATTCTGCACCTTACTATATTTTTATGATTTACAGCATTTATTAAAATAGTTGTGATACCAGCGATGACAGGAATACAGTGGACAGTTAATTATCGCTGCCCTGTGACAAAAATATCAAGTGACCACAGTCAGAAATCCTTCAAGATTCCTGAGTTGTTTAACTGACATTTGAACAACAGCTCTATAGATACTGTGGGAGGAGAAGTAACCTTTTTTATCAACACACTATAATCCATTCTATGTAAGAAACTATACTGGCAAAGTGCTTACTGTACAGTACAGACTTTATATGGCCTCAGAAGTAGGTTTTCTCTAATGTTACGAATGAAAAGAACACAGTACACATACATACATACAATGATATTTCTATAACAGCACATAGAATAATGTGAATAGTGAGGTTTACAGTGAGAACAAATGACCAACTTTCAAGCAGCAATATCAATACTGAGTGTTCTCCTGCAGGAAGGAGAAATGATCTCTAAGTAAATTTATAAAGATGTATGCAGTAGTGGTGTGGTGTAGTAGTATCAGTATCTATTTGAAAGTACCTCTGTTTTGGTTTGTGTCATTTAGTGTGTCAGACCAATTATAAAATATAACCATCTGTCACTGACAGTACCTGAATGGCTTTAATCAAATGAGTTTTGAAGCTGGTGCAGTTTAGTGAAAGGTCTCAATCTGACCTAAAATGCATGAAAACAAACAGTGCAGGACAACAGAGCTGCAAGAAGCAAACATGTACAGAACTGGGACCAGCTAAAACAATGACAGTAAAATTGAAATTAAAATATACAAGGGGTTAAAAGGTAAAAATTAAATTTGCACAGTCTGAAATCCCCATCAGTGAGGCCCTTTCCTTTGGCATCTGTGGTTTAAGTGGGTGATAAGAAATTGCTAGTTCCTAAACAGTGAGCGTCGGTGGGCAGTAACAGCAGAATTCCTTCATTCCTCGGAGATGTGTGCTCTACAGTACATCACGGCAGCCATTTGTACATGTGCTGCTCACTTCAAGACTTGAGTGGAGTAGGACTCACAGCCCTGGGGGTTTGGGAGCTGTGCAGGCAGGTTGTGCTGCTCCAGTTTTACGCCCCCTTTCCCACTAAGATGGTGCCCGTCAGCGGGGTAGAGTGTTATGTGGGAGAAGGTATCAGGAGGGAAGGAGGGCCTCCCTTTTATCACAGGAAGGTCTCGGCAGTGGAACCTCCTCCGGGTGAGTCTGGGCTGACGTCGACTCTAACGCAGGCCACCTTCTCCTGGCTGTCATGCAGAGATGAAGATACAGAGACAAGATGAATGCTTCTGCAAATTTATGGCGGTGCCAAAGGTGGAGAGCAATTGCACCTCTGAGATTGTTCAGATGAAAATCTCAGGTAGCAGTACACTCAGAACAAGATTTTAACACCTACAGTAAAGTGTTAAAATATGCAGCAAATTTTAAATGTTAAAATGTGTTTATGCAAGTCAGATGAGCGACATTAATTTCATTTTGTAACAAAAGTATTCCTGTCAACATACTCAAATTAACAGCTAAAGGAGCTGTTGAATTAAGCCACATCTTTGTACAGATTTAGACTGTGATACCCAACACACGATACTACATTCCCTATGGACTTATACTTAAAAGAGCCGTATCAATTTTAATCCAATTTAATGTACAATTCCAAAATCCTGCTTTAGATATTAAACTGTTTTTTACCTTCCAGGTAATAATACACTTCATTTTATTTCACTTCAGAACAAAGATAATCTTGCAGTCTTACAGATACAGTAGTCCCTCACGGACAACATTAAGTCATCTTTTTTGTCCACATTATATTATGATACTATAATTGCTCCCAACTAGGGATCTGGAAAACTCCAGGAGATGGCATCGCTACCTTCCACTACACTTCTCAGGTTGGGCACAAGAATCTGTGCACGAGGTAACTGCTTTCATTTCATCAGAGATATTTACTACCAAAAGGCCAGAATCAGAACTACATGCCAAAACACAAACACACATATGCACAAACATGAACACAAACACAAAGAGAAGACAGGCATATAGGGTTCAGTGCAGTGACAGTTCAAACAAGCAGACGCGAACATGCTTATAACTCAGTGATTAAAACAAATTCAATCATAAAAGAGAAAAAGCTAAAAAAAAAAAAAAGAGTTGACAGGTGACACCGCACTATGTTCAGTGTTAACATGTGTCAAGGAATGTGGTCCTTTTGCATTAGAGGCAAAAGTCACGCGTTGATTGCGTAAACATTATTAGTTAGTAAGACTAAAGCTATTTCAACTAAACAAACATTTTATCACAGACCATTTGCCCTCAAATACTCAAAAACGAACAAACACAACAACACACAAAGCAGTGTGTTTTATTCCAGTGTTTTTGTTTTTCAAATAGCTGAGGACTGACAGTTCTAGCCATGCGCTAACTGTCTGAGTATCAGTGAGCGGGGTTAGAACACAGCCATGTGGGTCAGATGTTCTGCATCAGACACACAGCCCTGCTACCTCTTCTTCCATTGGGAGGTTGTGGGTCACTAGTCCTATTCTGTATGATCTGTTCAAGATGGACACAATAACACACAGCTGACTACCAGTGTCAGAATTAACCATTTCAAGTTGTATGTTACATGATGGATCTGAATATGTGTTTCTGGACTGTTTTTTCTGGATCTTATCAGCCATCAAGACATAGATTAAGGAGGTAGTAAAATAATTTGGGAACCATTTACATTAATTCTCGTCCATAAAGCATTTGAAGCCATCGTGAAATTGCCTCATGAGTATCTGACCATTAAAAATAATAAAATGTAATCAGAAAAGATGACACTTTTGGAGTGATGCACTGCTGTGGAACTAAAAATAGAATTCGCTTAATGCCTCACTAAGCATTTGCAGCATTGGGCATCAGAGTGTGGTTTATGGGAACCACTCACCTCCCTGAGAGTGTTTTCACTGGGATGCTGAGCCGGTTTGAACCTTCAAAGCCAACCTTCAATCCCATTTCCTCTTCTTCGTGTATTCTGGACTCTTCCTCCTGGGTGGAAGCAGCAACGGGAGCATAAATTAAAAACCAGCTGTTACTGCAGTGAAGCTCCTCCTGCTAAAACACTTGTGTCTTTCAGTTTTATTTTATTTAACATATACATCTTTTGGCTGGGTAGTATGACATTATATTGGTTTATGTTCACACAGCTTAAAACCGGATGTTCTATGAGTCTCACGTGGCTGTATTTATTTACATCTGATGCATTAGATTCAAAGGTTAACCTGCCTCATTCTTGCATGGCCAGTCTACCTGTCCACCTATACAGACTACAAACATCTTACGTTTCTACTTTAATTGCAGTCTGACTCATGACTGTCGCTACAAAAAAGAAGGAAAAAACTAAAACAGTTTTACCAGCTTTTCACGCGCTTTCTTTTTCTTGTCATCTTCTTTCTTCTTCTTGCTTTCTGGCATCAAGTCATCCAGCCAGCTCAGCTCTCTCTTGGTGAAGAAAAAGTCTAGAAGCTTTCGGATAAAGACCAGTGCCAGAACCTGGAGACACACAGACAAGGAAACTGTTGCTACCCACGTCCGAATCAAATTCAAGTCACTAGTGCTTGCCTTCAGAGTAGCTCCTGGGTCTGCACACATCTACTTAAACTCAATCACACAGACTTATTCTCTTTCTCAGCCACTGCGTTCCTTCAAGGAATGTCGTCTGGCATTGCCATCCTGCACACAAGACAATCACAGTCCAAACTGTTCTCGTCTGTGGTTCCCTGATGGTGGAATGAGCTAATGAATGCTATCAGAGCAGAGCAGGGGCATCCCTCTCTATCTTCAAGACTCTCTTGAAGACTCATCTCTTCGAGAGCACCTCTAACACCCTAAGGTGCCAAACTAGCACTTACTAGCACTTACTATGCACTTTTGTGGCACTTCTTTACTTGATCTCCTTGGACTAATTAAACAAATGTAGTACTTACACCAAGGTCTTCTACTGCACGTAAACTTAAGTGTCGTCCTTCACTTGTAAGACGCTTTGAATGAAAGCATCTGCCAAATGAGTAAATGTGAACTATTATCAAAGATTTCATATCACAAAATATGCCATAATAATAAAAACAATAAAACCACAGCTATCACACAGAGAAAATCTTTAATGTCTTTAAAATCGAAAATTTTAATTTAAGATGATAGACTAGTGATGATAGACTAGCTGTTACGCACTCTAGTGTAGTGTGATAGTTGAGTGGGTGAGGCTCTATTTTGATCTGCTTTTACGTCTTTAAACATCTCATGTAATACGAGTGAAGTGATAAAATGAGAGACAATCGCTGAGGTTGAAGCCATTACCATCATGGGGAACACAACAGCTGCTGCAGAGGCCTTGATGACCCACAGCAGCACCAGACAGGTGAGCTGCACCAGGGTGAAGATATGGACCTTCCACAGCGGCACATAGCGAAGATAGATCAGATCAGGCTGGTGCTTGGCAGGCATGCCGAACAACTTGATTCTGTCAAAGAACTACGGAGGAAATGAGAGGACAGAGAGTCAGCGAGGGAGATAAGAAATGCAAATGAAAAAGACTGCAAAGACGGCAGGAGGCGAGGAAATTCAATACATTATTCAGAGGAGGGAACACGATTAACAAAAGCTTTTAAGGATTCTGAATTATGATCAAAGGTTTGGAACTACAAGGGCCAAACGCATCTTTACTAACAGCTGATGACTGCTCTTCTGTTCAGAAGTAAAGGGCATATTATCTTCAAAGACCAGCAGAGTAGCGTCTTACTTGAATGCCTTTGAGGGAAGAGACACCCATGTAGAGAAAGACTCCATATAGGACTGGCATAGGAATGAACTGTAAAGAGCACAAGTCAAACAAGACAGTATAACAACCCACAAATTATTCATCTTCCAGTATAGGAGAGGAAAGACTAACATGGTATGTGTTGCGCCAGGATACATTAAACAGGCAGAAAACTGAAAACTTGTGCAACATATTGAATAAATAACACATACAAGTGACTTTCAGTGACATTTATGCAACCTTCTCACTGACAATGGGTGCACTGAAACAAAAGCCCAGGAGGGTGCAATTTTATTATTCCAGTTACTATTATAATAGTGATTATGCCATCTCACCTTGAGCACTGAAGTCATGAAAACAGAACAACCCATGAGGATAAAAATCATGAATCCAGTGACCCGCTGTTCTCGGATGCCCAGAAACTTGGGCTGCTCTCCCGGCGCGGAGCAGCCTGACTCCACCTTCAGGCTGTTGACATGGGAGATGGAGAGGACGGTTGCAGCCACGAACCACGGCAGGCCCATAATGGAGCACACACCCAGCATTATTGCCACTACCAGCAAGTCCAGGTGATAGCCACAGCCTTTCTGTAGGATACACAAAGAAACAATTGAGAGCTGCCGTAACAGTGATGAGTGTTTCTCCCTGTGGAGCAAATGTCAAGTAAAATAGAGTAAGAGAATTACACAAGACAAGCAGCCTAAACTTTAAAAAATGTAATTTGCCAATGCATACTTGGAATGTTCAAGGTGGTTTGTGATTATTTTTTAAAGTCGCAGCACTGCAGAACCCTGAGGAATAAAAATGCCTCATTTCTGTGAGATGAACTCAGCAGAAAAAGAGGCAGACAAGAGAATATGTTGGCTTCAAGCATAATTCAGGATGACAGAAAGGAAGAGAGAGAACTGGTGAAGGATGAGCAAGCTGCAGATGATCAGAGAGATGTAGAGATAACAAAGAACAGATAGACCGATAGAAAGAAAGCAAGCTGGAGGCAGCACAAGTGAGAAAAAAAAAATAGGTAAAGAGACAGAAACTGAGTTTAGTTTAAGACTTTTGGTATCTATGCAGGATAAATGCCAAGGCTGCAGACATTCATTTACATGGGCATTCATTTTACTAACAATGCAATCAAATACTGGGTTTTGCAAGTCCTGTTTAACATCATTTTATACTGATAACCCATAATTTGGGATACAGCCAGTTTCCAGTAAGCCCTTTCTGATTCTGCAGTATTTTCGAGTTTGGAGGGGTTGAACCACTTGCTCAAAAAACTCAAACTATATATTACATTTGGTAATTAAGTATGATTTTAATGATAGATGAATTCTGATGATTTTTTTATGACTTTTGTGATCTTCCCCTGATTAATCTTAGATGCTGCACAGCTACAGTTTGCACCACTGGATATTAAAGAAGGGAGAGGCACAATTCAAAAAGAAACCAAGGACAATACTACTTCAGAAAACTTTAAAAATGATGTGTAACTCCGACCTTGAGTTTGTGCTCCTTGCGGTTTATGATGACTGCAGTGATCTGCTGGTCCATAAAGATGAGGATGGTGCAGAGCAGGGCAGGAAGTGCTGCCACCAGCAGTGTCCACCAGGGATTTCCCCCTAATGGGTCCATCAGCCAGCCGCGGTTCTTTGAAGTTGGCTGCAGGGAAAAGGCAGAGGTGTGCTACATTTAGTATATAAGGCATGAAAGATTTAGTTGAGAATATTTGATGATGTGGACATTCATTAGCTTTTAAGTAGTAAATGTAGATATTTGCTTACAAAAGAACAAGGATATAGAGGATGTAATTTCGTCTGATTTAAAGCTCCCTCTTGCATTTTGTTCATCCATGCATTAAGATAGACAGACCAACTGGAATAGATGCCTACCTCAAAGCGGTCAGGAACATTCAGTTTAGGAGAGGGGACGCCCATGAGATAGTCAACCAACACCATGATCATGATGGTTATAAATACAGCAAAGTCGCTGATGGTAGAACGCACCTGCACAACACACGCACGCACACACAAAAGCAACACGTGTATATTTACTCACACATTTGAGATGGGCATGCATGCTATATTCTACTGTTACTCTTTCAAATTTATCCACACTCCACAGTCATTTACTGCATGTGACTGTCAATATCCACCAAAGTAATAATTGCATTTGTATCAACAATAAAAACATAACAATTCAAACAATACCAACACCAGCCTACACAGAACACCAAGTGATAACAGACTCCCTGGTACTGTGTGGGAGGTTGCAACAAGATCTGTCAGTACATGAGACTGCTCCCGCATACTAATGACTGACGCAATGTAAACATTTACATAGTGTGAGGGGATTTTAGCTGGATCTACACACACTTGCGTGCAAAGAGATGATGGAAAGCAGCCTATTCAAATGTGGAGTTATTGATATTTATAGTTTAACAAAGAAATAATAAAACTTGGCTGTACTTTAAGTTAATCTACATCTACATAAATTAACAAACATATCACCTTGGTGGGAAAATATCTCTCTGTCTTGAACTGCTTGAGGAAGGAGGACAGGAAGAAGGTGGTGAAGAAGAGGATGATAGACCAGAAGAGAACATCTGGGATATAGGGCCCGTGGTGACCACAGGCCGGACCCACAAACTCCCCATGAAGCATTTTACACATCTAAAGAGAAAGAGGCATAGGCAGCATTAAATTAGTATTGCAAAGCTGTTTTAGATTAGCTGTTCCACTACCGACAGTAGAATCAGTAGCAGTTTTTGGCAGCTTAGTCATGGTAAATAGTAGTTGTACAAGTAGTTGTAGTCATTGTGATCATGTGCCTGATTGAATCTGTATGAATCAGTGAGTGAGCGTGAATGTCTGTCCAAAGTGAAATACTGGCTGATGATGTCTGTTTCCTCTACAAATGCTTTACATGCAACTGTGAGTGTGGGTGTAATTACTGGCGACCACACTGGAGGTCACTGTGTGCTTGCCTCACCGAAACATTGAGGCTGCTCCATGGGATAGAGTCTGGGCTGTATCCTGTCCGGTTCCATTCCCGCTCCAGCTGATCTGAGGCATTAACTGGTGGAGAGCACTGACACCTGGGGAAAAAGAGATCAAATGCTAAGCAAAGTCTGTAAACTGATCCTGAAGTTAATTTAAAACACAGGTTTTGCAAAAGTTATTATTTCGCAAGAAGGTGATTTTAACCTCAACTTTGGGGAACAGCTTAAGCTGCTACAATTAGTTTTCAGCTATAAGAACAGTGTGTTCTTAATGAAATACTATTTCTGTGACCCTTAATCAACATGACATCCTGATATGAAGAGGGAATTTTAAAAAGTGTCATGTTGGGGCTAATTCTGACACATTTCAAAGAAATTTAAAGAAAAAAAGCTCTTTTGTCACTTAAGAGTGATGTAAGGGATTTAATGCATCATGTCACAAGAATAAATATTTATAATCAAATAGTTAAACAGATAACAGATAAAGTGCTTCTGGAAAAAACGAAGGTTTTTTGTTTCTGGAAATGGTTCATCTTGGTTTTTGGTTGTGGTCTAACAAAATAAATCCTTTTTTGTAACATCTGTCTATAAAGAGAGAAACAGGATTCAGAGTTTCTAAAATGACTCATATGAAATCTAAATATAAAGGTAACTGAAATCTCAGCACTCACGAATACAGGGTAAGGTTGTCCAAGTTGTTGTGCATGTTGATAGGGTAGTGTTCTCCCAGGTGAAACAGCTTCTCCAGAGCCTCGTAGATGAAGATGATACAGATGAGTGCGGCAAAGGCCTCCTCTGTGAACCGGGTGATGTAGCAGACCAAGGAGCTAGCATCTGTTGCCACGAGGACAAGACACAGGAAGGCTGTCCACAGACCAATGCTGGTCCGCAGTGACAGGTAGGACAGGCTGTAGTCACTAGGAGAGAAAGAAAAAGACGTGGAGTGGATGGTGGAGGAGGATGAATAGAGGTCTACTTATGCACCTGTACATGGGTGCAGATATGCACATTTGGGCCCATTAGATTATTATAACTCATGCAAAATGCTGTGCAGACTATTTCGTTTAGTTATCAATATTTCGACTCATAAACTTATTTACTTTGGAAAAGTAAACTTGCTTGAACTTACTTGCAGAACTTGAAGAGGATCTTCTCAAACACTAAGACAGGCCCCGTGCTGCCAAGAATAGTGAGGGGCTGGCCTGCGAAGAGGGAGTATGCCACTCCTGTCAGTGATGCCCCAAATAGAGACTCTATGGCACTCTGTAGACACAGAGGAGAGGGAGGGCGTGAGGGAATGAGATAGGGATGATGGGGGAGATGAAACCACACAAAGGAGGATAGAGTGGGAAAGGCTGAAGGAGAAAAGAGAGAGATGAGGAAGAGACCCCCCGACCAGAACACAGAGTTTTCATTAAACAGACATTCTGGGCTGCGTCTGAGAAGCTAGATAAACTGTTTGAATATTTCCACTCTGCTGACTTGTCCAAAGTCATATCTCTGTGAAGCCCTTGTCTGCTGAGTTTACTCAGATGCATCACACACACCGGCACACAGACTGTGCCTATGCCAACAGTCCCTGGCCTAATAAGGACATCTGGGTAGAAAGGAAAGAGAGACAGAGAGGGAGAGATATGGAGTGATAAAAAGAGGAAGACACTATATAGTATAGCTTGCAGTGTGAGAGTCAATTAGTGCATGGGTGGCTAAATTATCACCACATCCTTTTTTGGCAGGTAAATTAAGGCCTCACAATCAAACACATGGACTCAGCTGAGTAATACAACATTAAAGTGGGTGAAAGATTATCATGACTTTTCTTGACACAGTAAGTGACCTGCTTTACAAAAAAGGGAGGACATGGAGTAGTCTGAAAATGTGTTTCTTCCTTGTGAAACGGTAGCAATGACAATAACTGGGACGAACTGTATGTAGATATGTCACATCTGCATTTAAGCACTGTATGTACTGTGTATATACAAGTATGCATATATGTTAAATATGATGGTTTAAGAAAGCACTCTTTTTGCATTAAATGGTGGAAGGAAAATTGTTAAGATTAAGTTAAATCAGATGAGCTCTTTGCTTTCACTTTTGGATTATAGGGAACAACACAACATTCATTTTAAGGGCACAATAATCGCAAAAATATTCTAAATGCTCACATTTGACAACCAAATTTATATCTCATTTGGTGCAACATGGCACTTACACAACCAAGGGTTAGGGGTTTGATTCCCACTGAGCTCATGAAAAGCATGAGGACTGACTTGTGTGGCCAAGCTTTCAGACTCACTATGTTGCCTTTTGTTGCCTCTCCAAGCAGACCTCCAAATGTGATGACAGGGGACATGCAGGCGCAGTAGAGGAAGAGGACGGAGGCTAGACACTGCAGACTGAGGGAGTCCCTGATGTCACTCCAGTAGAATGGTACCTTCCGCTTGACATCTAGGATCAAACCTCCAAATATCCTGTAGCGGGAAGATTATTTTAATTTCAATTTTTCAATTAGGAGAACACAATAAACTCACACAATAATATTGGTATGGTTACAGAAAAATACAACACATATCAGTTATGTTCAGACAATAGGAAGAGTCAAGTGAACACACCTGATTTAGCATCACATAAACTGTGTTAATGAAGCAGTTATCCATCTATCAGTTCCACAGAGATATTTCAGAACTCAATTAAAAATTAAAAAGTAGTGCAAAGGTAATAGCAGTCTAGATAAGTAAATGGTTACAATAATCATTAAAAGCAAAGTAATTGACCCTGTGAATTACCATTCTTACAATGTGTTAATTCCTGTTGCTCTTTTTATAGTTGAAATTAATTCCACTATGCATGTTTGATAATAGCGCTGTCGCCTCACAGCAAGAAGGTTCCGGGTTCGAGTCCCGGCTCGGACGCGGGGTCTTTCTGTGTGGAGTTTGCATGTTCTCCCCGTGCTTGTGTGGGTTCTCTCCGGGTACTCCGGCTTCCTCCCACAGTCCAAAGACATGCAAATGGGGACTAGGCTAATTGGTTACTCCAAATTGACCATAGGTATGAATGTGAGAGTGAATGGTTGTTTGTCTCTGTGTGCCCTGCGATGGACTGGCGACCTGTCCAGGGTGTACCCCGCCTCTCGCCCGAATGGATGCTGGGATAGGCTCCAGCCCCCCCGCGACCCTACTAGAGGATAAGCGGTGGAAAATGGATGGATGGATGGATGTTTGATAATATGAGGTGATTAAAATTGTAATTTTCGAAAAATTGCTAATTTACTACATGCTACCATTTTACACATTTAATTGGTCGGGAGTTAAGACAGCTGAACACTGTCGTTGTACCCACTGTAAAAGAAAGGTGGTGTCATGAGATTGTGATTGTGTCTCTTAAAAATGTTCATCAATTCTAGATGGCACTTTGATCTTGCTGCCATATAATTTTAACCAGGGCAGAGTTTATCTTGCATATACTGTTCAGAATTACTCCATACCCATGCATCTTCTCTCTGCTTCTGCCTCTTCGTACTTTGCCTTTGAGTGATTTCTCACCTTGTATATCTATGTCTCTTTTCTCTGACATCTGTCCAACTGCTCTGCTGTGAGGTATTCTTTCATTTCCTTTTTCCCCTACACCTCTGGAATACCTCTATAGCCTCCTTCCACAACCCCTGCTGTCTCTTTTGTCCCCATTCCTGATAGCTTTCTTTACATTAGCTTCTTGCACTTCCTCATAGTTCTCTATCCCCCAGCAGCTCCATCATAGTGGCAGTGAAAAGCAGAGTGAATCCGTAAATAATACAACACCTCCAAACTGATGTCTGTGTGCAGAGGGTGTGTGTCTGTCTGAGGTTTCAAATAAACCCATTCTCCTCACTGTGTGGCTCAGGCTCTAGAGACTCAGCATGAGCTATCTGTAAATGTCAGCATCTGAGGTTCATAGAATACAGTAGAGATGTGTCTGCACAAGCACATAGTAGTATTAACTGATAAAATTTTACATTTTATAGATTTTTTGTCTAGTGTACAATAATGATATGTGAGGAACCTTATAGAAAAAAATTCCAAAAGCTTTTACTTAAAAAAAAATGGTGTTTACAGAGCACTATTACCAAGTTCTATTGCCATCTGCTGTTTGGAAAAAAAACATAGTGAAAAATATTTAATGGCTTGTAATTCATCTGATCATCATTCTCATTAATGTTATCACAAATAAGACTCTAACTAAAGAAGATAAAATGAGGTCCTTAGTCTCTCAGATGAGCTTTTCTTGCAGCTCTTGTTAACATGAGGCACTTGTCCCAGAATAATCAACATGATATATTAAACATGCCTTCTTGTGACTAATGAAGTTGTTAATTCCACTAGGACATGCTTTAATTATCAAATATTTCTTTGTCAACACATTTGCTAACACAAGTGAGATTATAAATGAAAGTGAGGTCAATTTGCTTTAAAAATGATCATAGTTGCTGTGCCAAGAAAATGTACTGTGCTCACCTCCCGGTCCTCTGTAGCTCAGGCCCTATGTGATGGCCGTCTTCCTTCTCCAGCTCTCCAGCTGGAGACGCATTGCCGTTGGGCTGGGGCGGTCTCTTTCTCTTCATCTGCAGATCAAAGGACATTTAAATATAATATGGTTCCACGTGTTGCAATTCCTATGCTGTCATGACGCTTGAAATCCATAAGGGGGCCCTCTCAGTGTGATTATAGTGGTATGATAAAGTGAAGCTGGGCAATGATCTCTGCACCTATACCTGCCATTATACCTGCCATAATTTTTTTTTTTTTTTAATTGTTATACATTTGTTATAAGTGACTCTCATATCATATCCGTCTAACACAATATGGATTAAGCGTAAAACAAAGACGCATCTTTGTACACATTATTCAATAAGTGCACCTAACACAATCTCTGACAAGGAGACTCAGTAACCTGAGATGGGACATTCTTGGGGGGCTCAATCCGAATCGTGGGATCCCATTCTCCAGGAGGCAGGACAGTCACTTGATCAAGGAACTCATCTATCCCAGAGAGGAGATCCGTTCGGTCTTTGGCTTTGTATGCCACATCGTGGAAAATCTACAAAATCAATATTATTAGGAGTTGTTAAATGTCTCTGCAACTGCATGTTAAGGGTACCAAAAAGTAAAAGAAAAAAGAAAAAAGAAAAAAGAAAAAGAAGACCAGCACAGTGTTCATCTTTAATCCCAAAATCCAAAGATATCCTTTGCTGTCAAGCTAAAATGACATTATTAATCAGATGTATTTTTCCCGCTCTCACCTCATCTGTCATCAGTGTGGCCATGGATCTGCCAATTTCATGGTACTGTGGCCCTTTGCCATGAGGACCCAAAAGCAGGAAAAGAAACCTTTGAACAAGACACACATTCAAACTCAGAGTCACCATAAATAGCAGTAACTGGTAATACAAATCACAACAATACGTACTGTATTAACTCAAAGGCAAACAGGAGTTTTTTGGTAAACACTTAAATCAGCATTCATCCTTTCTCAATGAAACACACTGTGTGTATTCTTGAGGTCTAATAAACATGATGAATACATTTCCTTCTTCATTAAACTTTTGCAAAGCTGATTTTTCAAATATTTTGATACCTGCATTGTTAAAATCCATGTTTGCTAGCTATCAGTCTTCTTCCCTGCCTTTGTTGGCACATTGTTAAGTTTCCTGGTTTGGTACTGCCCCCTCTGATGTGGTGGAATAGAGTGAAACTGTCAACAAAAATGTGTTGCCCACTTGATCTCATAGATCTCAACACCATGAATATGTCTGATTTTTTACATCAAGATCCAAACACTATTTCTTGAGAAATTGCCCTCATCACATAATGTTAAGGAAAGTGATAAAAAAAGAGCTGCCCCTTTAACTGGATCTGCACCAAGCTTTAATGCCTTCTTATCTGGCCCCAGTATTTTTTGCATAATAACAAATATACAAACAAACAAACCAACAAACAGACAAAGGTAAAAACATAACCTCCTTGGTGGAGGTAACTAAAAGGGCACTCAGAGAGTGCAGACTTCCTCCAAGACCAATATCAAACAACATACACAGGACTTCATAAAAAATAATTCAAGATCATGGTAAGTGATCCAGATCTGACACAAAATTGAAATGACCCATGCCCCATCCCTCCACCAAGTTCAATACAAATCGGTTCAGTAATTTTTGCTGACAGATCAACAGACACGGGTGAAAACATAATGTCCTTCTTGGAGATAATTACTTTACCTTGTGGGAACAGGCACCTCTGTGAGGCCTGTGATAAGGACTGCTGGGGACAGCCGTACAAAGGCAATTATGGGCTTCTCCAGGAAGTCCACTTCTCCCACCAGCACATTGGAAGCCTCGGCGCCTGGAGGAATCTTTTTCATGAAATTCATATCCACCTGAAACCACAGGAACCAATGAAATTGAGGAATCAGATACACAGACAATTACTAATAATAAAACAGAGGAAAACCAGAGACAAAGAAGAGGAAGTTGTGATAGAAAATAAAAGACTTGGTCACAGGAAATGCAAGAGAAGTGCACACATGCAAACAGAGATGAAGATGTGGAAACGTAAGAGATGGCAGCAGGTCGTTGGGAAGCTATGATAACAAATGACGGATAAGTTAGTATGTATATTAAGGACTACATAGTACTGAGCAAAGATTGTCCGTTGACGCTATGCATTTATTCTCATGTTCCCTGAATAAATATCTCTTATGTACAACGCTAAATACAGATCTGAGCATGGCAACATTTTTTTTTATCCCTGTGTAGGACACACTGTGCCTTCATCTTTCTTTTGTATCCTCTGACTCATATAAACACTGCACCTTATTTTTTGGCAGTCAAAATGGATGGTTTTATAATGATAACTACTTATGGCAGCCTGCCATTTTATTTAATGGATGAGGAACGACAAAATGGTAGGATGGATGGCGGCCATGTGAGGGAGGAATTTTCAAAACTAAACAGAGTTACATAACTACATGAGACTTTTACTTTGATCAATTCTTAGTCCATTACAGGTGGAGCAGTGACTGAAGATGCCTCTTACTGAGCTCGGAAGAAAAGGGCTGATGGGAATGTGATGTTGGCTCTCATAGAGGCATTTTTCAACACAGGCCACTGAAATGTCTGTGAAAGTCCAGAAACTGAAGAAAAACACGGATGGACTTGGTCATGGGTCCTTCCACCATGATGGACTGTTTCTGTGCTCAGTACTGTGGCTAGGTTACCTTGCTGAAGTCGACACTGCTGCTTTCTCTACTGACCCCTACTTTGGACGGCCTCCTCTCCACTGCCTTGTTGCCATCCAGGTTGTTAGGGACAGAGTTCGGAGACACCAATGGTCCTGGGAGGAACAGGGGGAGAGACAAAGCAGTGATGGGCAATGTGTAAGGACTTGGGACGCAATGACTGGAGGAGAAAAGCTGTGTGGTTCACCATGAAATGCTATTTGTGATGTCATTAATAAATGCCATTTGTCTTTAATTTTTCTCTCTACTCACATTTCAATATGAAGACATGGAAAAAAAAAAGTTCAAGGTATGTTTATCTGTGATAGACCACTACTTTATGGCACAGGCTCAACAAATGGGAGGCAATTTCACAGGCAGTTACTCACTCTTGGCAAACAAACCTGGTATAAAATCCTGATATCACACTGCTGCCCACATTTGCTTGTGATGCAGCACTGTAGGTTTAGTAGGTTTAGTGTGTGTTAGTGTGCTGTTATAGTGTGACGTTTACATTCTGTTTGGGTCATTTTGCACTCCTTAGTTATGTAGCCTGTCTTATCAGTCTTGGGAAGTATTACTGTCAGAATATTTCTTCATTTCTCCACTTCTGAGGTTAGTGTATCACCTATGAGATATTCAATTAAATCATAAACTTTATCTAGCAAATTTCCTTACATTTGAATGGGATGAGAATCAGCTCAGACACTGCAGGTTTTCTATTGTACCAGGCAATGAACTGCATCCCTGTGCCACGCCATCCCCTATTAGATGACTAAAATTAAACCTGCAGCACTGGCAGTCAACAGACACAGAAGTTGAGATCCACTTTGAACAGGGATCAGTGGCTGACTGAAATACAACAGAGAGTTAATGAACCTGATAATACTCGAAATGCATAAAATGTTTGCTGAAATGTTTAACAAACTAAAACAATAGTCGTTGAATTTGCTGTCTAACATTTCTTTTCTTTTTTTACATTTTCTGCTGCAGGTGAAATGATTTCTGCAACCACAAACATCACATGCTAGATGTGATGATACTGTACAGGGCTTAATCCCTGATGGCTCTCCACAGAGACGAAGATATATTTCAGACAGCGCTGTTGCTGATTGCTCCCCGTCTGTTGAGCTCATTAATCTGGTGCTTAAGTCAGTCCTGCTTAACTCGAGTTCATGTCAGCTTTAAAGTAAAGGTGAGTGCCTGTGTTTGATATGCCTGACAGTTCTCCTTCCTCAGACTTCAGCACCTTCAAGTGTTAAAGCTAAAATATTTCGGTGCATAATTGGCTGCACACTTCAACATTGCTTATGTGATTTGAGCCATACCAGATACAGGAAACGCTAGCACTTGAAGTGACATGAGAGTGGGAGATGAAATGAGGAAGAGATGTCAAAGAATAGCATATGCATACTATCCTCTGAAATTTGGAAGTAACACTTCTTTTACCAGGTTTTCCATATTTTCTCATTTTCCACATCTATATCGACACATTTCTTATTTTGCCATCAAGATGTAAACAAGCCAACGTCAAACAAAATTTATTTATAAAGGCTTAAACAATATGCCATTTTCTCATCTACAATTAATCCCAAATAAAAATTGTGCAATTTCTGCCAGCACGTGATTTGGCCAGTAAGCCATACCCTTGAACTGTACCCTGGGGTAGCCCCAGTGGATGCTGGGTAGCAGTGACTGCTGAACAGGAGCATGATTGCTCACATACCCAACAAAGCCTCTTGGAATAAGGGTGGGATTAGCTTAGGTTGCATCCGCCAACACACTTCATTCAGCAAGGCTAAGCCCTGGAATGCTCCCCCATACCAACCTTGTAAACAGTGTCGTCACAGTGATGCCTCATTCATATGCAAAAAAGTCACATAAATAACTGAAATGATACATATTTTCTGACTCTTATGTGGGGCTGGTAGTACTGGAAATTTTCTAATAAAAAGGTGAAAAACAAAATTATATTAATTTATATAGGCTCTTGGTCTAGTAGTTGTATGGATATATTTATGTATTGAACTACAGTTCTTTCTACAGTTTACATTACACTGTATAAAGACTCAGAGATTGCAAGCAATGACACTATGTCCCCATGAATCCATATTTTTTTCTATTCTAAAATGGCCTCTGTTTTATAAACCTGACCCATGACAGTTGAAAGGACACTATATGACGCAGAAAAACACTTAAGATTTGGAAAGCCTTCATGTGGGACCTATAATAAGACAGAACAAGTGTACCAGTGATTCCCTGCATGCCCTGTATACAAGTCTTTCACCCATGACTTCATGCTCAATGGGTTCATGGCATGAATATGTATAAATAGCCTACAGACAACTCAATCCCATTACAGTGCATGTCTAAAAAACTGCAACATCCATATCAATGCATTGTCGACTATAATTATTTGAAACCTGTAAGCCAGCTATTACTGGCAGCTAGAAAAAAATTCATCTAAATAACCCATTAAGGGTATTTTACTGTCTAACACTTTATTTCTGTTCAATAGATGGTTAGTTATTTTGGGTCAACAGTGCAGTTTTTACAATCTACAGTGCACACCAGAGCGCATTATTAAACTGTAATGATGAATGCTTGAAAACCTCCTCTGAATAACCCACACACTGATGTCAAGATGATTGCCTCTTGGGAAATACTGTATATTTTCCTAGAAGGGGGTACAATTACAGAAACTCATCAGCTATAATAAGACCACCCCAACCTTTCAGATTCAGCTTCCACCAAGTGATCACTGGTTCTAATGACCCATACTTTGAAATGGAGCCATTCCCAGAGCGAAACCGACGTACACGCACGCACACACAGTCTAATAATAAACTGACAGGGCTTGGTTTGGGAAGAACAAAAAGCCATCGTAGGTGGCAGTTTGATAGTACATACAGTACCAATACACCCACCATGGTCTCTGGCTTATATTTAGCCGTGCTGCTGGCACACATTGCTCTCACTACACACTGAATCGGGTAAAAGAATGTTTAATTTTAGGAATTGATGAAGCAGAAGAGCATGGGTGCCAAATGATGCAATGGGAAAAGCACAAGTTGCATGACATTTATATTTGTGTGTACTCAAAGTGAAACAGTCACCTGAGGATAAAACAAGTTACACCTGAAAGAATTTAGGACGTATTATGTCAGTTTCTACATCATACCAAATGCATAAGGAACAGCTATGGTATGTTTCGAGCGTATTTGTTTCTGAGACAAAGGCATTTTTTTATACTGATTGATACCAGCAATTAAAGTGTGCTGTGAGTACGCAATCCAACAAAAAGCCCCCAATACACTCTGCTTGAACAGAAGGAGCCTAATGCAGTGTTGTGAGTGAACAGCAGACCAGCACAAAAAAATAAACAGTAGCCAGCGGTTCCATTTAATGACATCTACAGAGAGAGAGATTGTCAGCAAGTAAAACCGGAGTGATTTTACGTCAGAAAAAGTCCTCTCTTTAGAGTCTAAATTTGTGCAAAACAATAGATCCATATTAACACTCCTCTCTCTGTGGATATCATATGAAACACTATCAGACATTATTTAAAATTTTATTGGAAACAATCACAGAAATCTGTGACTTAAGTTATATTTTCTTCATGATATCCTGCTGTACCAACCTACATTGGGTTGGCTTTATTGTTTTTTATGTATGCCAACTTAATGGTAAGTGTGTGCTGAGAAACTGTATTATATACCTGTATAACAAATAAATTAATATCAGCCGATGCTTAAGATTAAATGCCCCAGTCTGTGGTCAGTGGCAAGAAGGAACAATGGGACCGGGACATCCCTACTAACAGGTCTTACATGACACAAGCTGACTGAGAAGAGAGAGATGGGGTATAAACATAGTAATAAAACATCACAGGACACATGATGAAGGATGAGAGACGAAAACATTTTGAGGGCAGCCATGCAACCACAATGATGGTGGTGTGAAGGGAGACAGGGAGAGAGACAAACAAGGCATAGACGCTTGGGAATGGGACAGAGAGATGTTTGAATGGTAAAAAGGGGTGAAAAGGGTTTTCAGGACAGCAAAAGCAATGTATCTTTGTAGAAAATAAGGGGTTAGTGGAATAGACAGAAACTGAGAAGGGACAGAAGCAAGATCATGATGGAGAAGAGAGCGGTGTCAGAAATTTTGATATAAATACAGTGGGAACAGCGTCTTAAGCAAGTGAGCCTTGCTGGGTTATTGATGAGATGGCCGCAGGGTTGGAAGTTAACGGGGAGCAGAGCTTTCATGCTAGTGCTAGTGTTCTCTGTTCAAGCCGTGACTCACACTGGCAGGCTACACAGATATTTGCCTTCTAAGGGCAGCAGCTCGAGGCCCTGGGATGCCGAGGATGCTCGCCGGCTGAACTGTGGTGATGCAGCATCATCTTCTGCAGAGTTTGGTGGGTCGTCATCTTCGGGAGGCGATACGACCACCTGAGGGATGCCTTGAGGGCCAAGGCCTGCGCCACGGGTGCGTGGTGGGCTTTGGGAGGAGCGCCGGAAGGAAGCGGGGGTATTTTGAGGGGTGGTGAGGGGTGATGGAGCTGGGGAGGACCCAGTGTTGGAGTAAGAAGAGGGCAGGAGGTGGTTGAGCAGGACGGAGACTCGGGACTCTCGTCTTTGGGACAGGTTGGATACAGAGGAGGATGCCCCTGGCTTGTGGAGAGAGAGACGTGAAGAGGACAGCCCCTCTCCTAACAGAGGAGACAATGGCAAAAAAAGGAAAGGAGAGGGGAGAGAGAGAAGGAGGGAAAACAAGAGTAGGAATAAGGGATGGAGCAGAGAGGAAAAACATATGAAGTAGGAGTACATCACAGAGATGGTATCTGGAGAAGAAGGGGTGGGCAGCAAGAGCGTGGCAGAGGTGTAGTTAGAGAGATTCGTGCTTGCAAAAACGTGAGCAAGAAGCATGGTTGTGTGCTAAAGACACTGACAATGATTCAGTGAGGCATGTAGGAGGGTCCGCAAGGGCCAAACAACTTGTTCCATTCAATTCTAAACAACACAATCACACAATGTGACTGAACTGAGGCAAGTTCTAACTTCAGATAGGCTTGCATGCAGGAGAGAATGAGTTAGCACGATGTCAGTGCATTGTAAGCAAACATGTGCTCTGCTACAAACAAACCAGTCATAAATCACAGTACACACTCATTTTGGTACATACATCTTTCACACTACTACTATTACCCACATCAACCATCAATCATATATAATTTTGACCTTTCACAATTGCATTTCAGGTTTGATGACATGACAATGCAAGCCCAACAAGAACCACAGGCACAGAAGTGAAGAATGTGACATCTCTTTCATTCTTAAAACCTCAGGCTGGTGCCCAAGATCTTAAAATGCACACCATACATTAACACCACTGTGGCCATGCCCAGTCAAAAAATACACAATGCTGATTCCAGTTGCAGGTAAAGCAATATTTCCTGAGTGTCACCTTAAGTAGTGAAAACAATCATTAATTCAAACCCCAAAAGCCAGGCCAGCCATACCAGTTAGCACAATCATTAGCACCCAGATTTCTCTTTCGCTAAGGGAACTGACTGCTTCAATATAAATCATTCTCTAGATTTTACTCACTTTTATCATCCACCTTCTATGCTGGCATTGAGGGATTTGAACAGTGGATTTTTAGGAACAGTTCCCCAGTGGTGGCAAATGTGGAGGAAAAAGAAATGCAAGTGCTTTGTAGGATCTCACCGTTTCTTTCAAGCAAGAGTGGGTCAGAATGTTTCTTGCCTATGTCAGCAATGGAGCGCACCAGAGGGATGCGATTGCTGAGCTTTCTCTCATTCTGGTGGTGGTGTTTCTTCAGCATGGCTTCCCGCACCTTTTCCCGCAGATCCTCCTTCAGCTGGCCTGAAGCCACCATGCTGTCTATCACCATGTCTGAGTCATACAAAAGCAGGACCATTAATATGCACGGTTAGAGAAAACAGAAGTGATATGTGGGGCATTGAAAATTATATTACTAGAATAATTAATGATTATGTTTTATTTATCTTACACTTTTCATCACAATTCTCCATTAGAAATACAATAGAATTGGTATGACATGTCCTTTAAGATGCGATTTAAGTGTATTGTGAAATATACCCGCAATTTCCTCGATACTGTTGGCCCTCATATCCAGCATGACTGTGCCATTGAGTATACAGCTGCGTAGTTCAAATAAGCTGTGTAGTGACAATGTTGCCACGTAGGGTTTACTCCACCTCTCCCCACCATCTTCCACATCCTCCTCAAACTTCAGCCATCTGTATATAAAACCCAAGAGCACACGCACACACACAAACACAGAAATGCTTGAATTTACAAATGACTAATAAAAAATTAATGAGCATTGTATTATAGTTCAAGGACACAAGATTATGGCTCATATTCGCCAGCTACATTTTTCCTTAAACAAGTTGTTAATAACAAAAAAAACAAAAAAAAAAAACAACCCTGTTTTTTTGACTGGAGGTTGAGACTGGCTTATGAAAAAAAGCAGGCAAAATGTTTCAGTATTGCTGCAGATTCTGGAAGCTACATAAAAGAAGCCATTTGGAAGTTTTGCTATTGCTACATAGCCAACATTAGCATTAACAACTGTTTACATACCAGTCTTGCCAAGAGCTTCAGCCATCGCTGCATTTACAAGACACAAGGTTATAATACACCATCTGGGCAGCACTACCTCTTCAGGGCGGATTGGATGCTACAGTGACTCAGTATCAGTAAGTAAGTAAACAGGTGTTCAAGCAAATGTTTGATATGTAGCAATAGCAAAACTTACATATATCTCCTTTAAACAGAGCTACAAAACCAAACTGTATCACACATTGATTTAGACAATTCTCTCCAAACACAGAAACTAAAGAGAACAGTTTGATCACAGGAAAGGAAACAAATTATGATGAAAAATTGCCAAATTATGAAAACATAAGGCTCAAATGGACTCTTGCCTTCTTCAAAAAATATAATTTTTCACAGTTATATGTGCATATACAGTAAATGTAATCATTAAGGCTGATAGTTATGACTAACAGTCAACAGGGTTTTCAGTTAACTAATGACTAATGGTGTTAGTCTATGATTATGCTACAAATGTTGAAAACTTATATTGTACAAAAAGCAAACGGTGGTTATGTAGTTGTCATCATGATGTTCATGCCTTAAGATGCTTTACTGACCTGGCAGTCTCTTTCCATTCAGTGGCACTGCCGTCTCTGAAGGAGAGCTCATCCATCTCAGTGAAGAGGTCATGTGGGACATGCTCGAGGTCATCGTCCTCTGTACCCAAGATGAACTGGACCCTCTGGGATGGTGTGTCTGGACAGAGCAAAGCCCAAAGGTCATATTTACAAGGTTTACAATGATAACAACAGTAAAATTCTAAAGGCATTAATTCCTATTAAATGGTACCTTATGGAGTTTTTGACCTCTAGTAGCCCACACAAGTGAATGCAGTTCCAAAATATTAATAAATAGCTATATAGCTAAATAAAGCTTTCCAAATGTTTTCTGGGGAAAGAAATGCAACTTTTTTGGTAGACTTCAAGGATACATGCAATCTGTTTAGGTGTGAATGCAGTGAATGAAAACATAACTTATTTGTTTACAAGAAAACACTGCAGGGCACCTTTAAGTGGATCTCAAATATAGCATCGTATTACTGAACCATGTCTAGCGAGTTTCCTGTCTAGTACCTTACTTTTCTCTGAGTTCAGCTATAGAGCGTGATGGGGGAAACTGTCTCAGAGAAGCAGAGATTAAATCTGAGCATAATAAGAGGAGATGGTAGTAGGATGAAACTGAATTTCTTGTGATCAGTTTGAGAAAGTGTCTGTGTTTGTGTGTGGCTGGCCAGTATAAGTACAAGTTGCATCATACTAATTGCTTTTCATTCTGGTATATAATAAATACATCTGCAGGCTTGATGCTGAAAAATTTTCTGTGGAAAAGTGTGCAAGAGGGAATAATGAAAATTTGGCTGCTCTTCAGGAGAATTTCTTTTCATGTCTGACTGAATTAGAGGGCAGATATCAAGACATCTGGAACCAGAGAGAAAACGGAAATAGATATGGCAGATAACAAGACTAAACGCCACAGGGAGGCAGAAATGGAATGACTGGAGGCAAAAAGGGAGAGTTATTTTCTGTTAACACATGGATACACTGTGCGGTGGTCTGGTGTGTATTACGTACATGCGAGTACATTTCATATTGCTGTTGCTGCTGCTACCATTATTCCACACAAATACCTGAGCATAAAGACGCATTGTTTGGGTGTTTCTGATTCTTGCAGTTGAGATGATGCAGCAACTTCTAACACAAACACATACACACATCCCTTAAAATGTCATAGCCTTCAATCGGTCAAAGCTGTTCCCTGTGGCCTTTAATGCCTTTTAGAACTGAATGTTTTATTCACAACTGTTTGAAATACAGAGAACCACAGAAGGCTGAAGCAAAGTGATGCTCTAAGCAGGCAATCTGTGCATTGTTAAAAGGGGATTTGATTGAAAAAACAAAAAAACACCATAATATCAAACTCATCTCCCTCCACTTTCCACTCACAACTTTTCAACCCAAGGTTTTAAATGAAAAATGGCATTTACTAGTTAATGAATACTACATTCCAATGTTTTGGGGTGGTGTATAACACTGCATTAATGCTTGAATAAGGACAATTTGTTTGGTGAAGGGGGTCTATTTACTTCTAGCTTTTTACAAATAGCTTTACTATTTGTAAAGATTTTTTTTTACCAATTCAAAGCACTAAAGTACAAGCATCACAAAACAGCCACCAATAACAAGATATTGACAGGCATACAAAAACTAAGATAGGTCTATCTATTCTAGATTGCAAAGGTTTCTGGTTATTGTCTAATGCGAGTCCTGTGGGTGTATGAATAAACACGGTTTAAGCCTCCCAAAAGCAGTCATTAACTGCAAGGTACAGTACTTCGGGATAGAAAATAAGACTAGAGAGTGGAACTTAGAGAGTGAAATAGAAAAACAGAAAAACAAGGTGTGCCTCCCGTTACATAGACATAAGACATTCACTGTAAGCTAGGTGTTATAAGTTAGAAACAGTGTCCAACCGTAAGAAGGGGATTCCCTGCCATCTTCCTTCCCCTCCTCAGAGTCTCTCTCTTTCTTCTTTCGGTGGTGTTTGTGTCCTCGGTGGCGATGCCTTCGCTTGCTCTCTCTTCCAAGAGGAACATGGACGCCTACGTACACTGCTCTGTGGCCTGGGGAACAGAAAGGTGAAATTCAGACCACTTTCCCTTTACAACATCTTGAAAATTGAGGAAAAAGAAAGAAGGAAAAGGATTTTGTTAAAATGTTAGATTAGGTAAAGGTAAATTAGCATAAAAGAAGAAATAGTTACCACTTCAGGTGCATCATCAGTATTATAATACAAAGTAGCTCAGAATACCACAAATAAGGTGGCAATAAGAAAAAATAATTTGTTTTTTTTTAGTTATTTGTTTTGACATAACTACATTTTCTCCAATTCTGCAGCCACAAAGAAATATATATATTATATAGAACTTTTGTAACAGGTTCATTCTATCTCATGGGTAGATATTGACAACATTCTACTCAAACATGTTACTTGAGGTCTCTTGGTGATTTCTGCTTCTGTGAGCAGCTAAATTAATGAATGTCAAAGCAAGTAATAAATAAAATTATTTCCAGAAGCCATACAATAATAGAAATGGAGTACCAAATGCAATAGATTCAATGCAACTTCTCCACTGTTAAAGTGATAGTAACAATAAATTCCAGGAATAGACAGTAATTTACAACTAAAGTAAAACAGATACACCAACGTTTAAGACAGAAGACAAAGAACTTCTTTCCATTCCTTTTGAATGCTCTACATAACCTACTTGAAGGAAGCCAGAGAACAGCATTTTACCATTTTCACCCTTCTGTTTTCACCTCAATGTTTTATCTACTTCCCCTCATTATTGTCAGCGCCATGCAGGAACCATATTATGAGATGCAAACGCCCTATTTTTGCCCTAGATTCACTGCCAATAGTCATTTTTCACAGGCAAGTTATCGCTCTTTGATTTGAAAGAGAACCCAGGAGGATTGAAGCCAGGATGCAGCACCCAGAGGAAGGCGTAAGCAACATACACATGTGCTGAACAGATGGAGGGAAACAGAGGTAGAGAAAGATGGGAAGAGGAAGAGGGAGAAAAGACACAGGAGATGAAAGAGGATGGAGAGACAAAACCTGACAGCTTAGCTGGACAGAAAGCAGAGGGCTCCAGGGGTGTCACAAAAGGAAATAATGGGATAAATGGAGACATTATTGAATGGAGGATGTGAAGTGTGGTGGACTCAAATAAAGAGAGGAGTAAGCTGGACAGGGGGTGCAAATAGCTAACACCTGAGGGAGATATTGTGGTTGTAATAATGCTGCATTCTCTACAAGTGACCGGCACCAACACTTCAGGTGTTATGCTAACTAGCAAGTGTTTCCACTTAATGCTGCAGGTTTAGGATCCTACATTTCCATCAATTACAAAAAGCACATAGTCACCAGAAAAGTCTTTCCATCTGAATGACTTACTTTCCAAGTCTTCCTTTTCATAGTTTGTGTGAGTGGTAAAGCTGGTCTTTCCATGGTCAACGATCGCCTCTTCATCTAGACCCTGAGATTGATGATGAGAGAGAGACAGAGAGGGAGAGCAACAAAATATTTGTTAATACTATAATCTATCTACACACTGGACACTACCACCTTAAGCTTTGGTCTTGGGGAGACACCAATGGCTGAGAAAGATCAGGAAAGAAAACACATTAAAAGCATAACTGAATTGCATCTGATAATAACAGACACAACTGAAATCTCATCACTGTAACAGAGCACAATGTTCACTAAACTGTATTAAAATTAAGCTTTAGTCCATTTTTTAACAAATTGTATGGACTGTCATCACAAAGGAATAGATATCAAAGTTTGTTGTGTCAGTTGAGGACAACTTGTTCACTCCATTACCTGTTGATGAGAGATATAGTGAGTCTGTGAATACCAACGTGGGGAATCAAAAGGGTAGTAAGAAGAACCCTTTATCAGACTGCAGCATATCCAATTGCCTGGCTGTGATTGCACTAGTGTGAATACAACATGGAGGCCCTTACATTTGATCAAAAGTGAGTCCTGTTTGGTTTTTCATTTTTAGATTTACCCCATACCAAATCACTCCGTAGCTCTGGGGTTAAACCCCAGACATATAACAAACAAAACAAAAAAGGATTTTAGTTATGCACATGGCCAATACTGGCAGCCTTTTTCCTCAATATTTATTCATGGCAGTCAAGAAAAATAGCTTAGACCATGGTACAGACAAAAATGCATGAACTGTAGTTAATGATTAGACATTTGAAATATAGTACAGAACAAAATTACCCACTCTCACAGACAAGTTCAATTTGGCAAACAATGTGATAACTGCATAGCTCTAGCACACTGACTGCTGATGGTTGTCTTTAATAACCTCAGGTAATTAAGGCAGCAAGGTATCGTTGGCTCACAGGGGGTTTATCTATGTGCTATTTTCCTAAAACTAATTAGTCTGTATTGTAAACTATATTTATTGTTAAAGTTCAAGCAATAAAGGTAGAGTTTCATAGCAACGTCAAGAGGCTGGCTCATGAATAAAGAGGTTATGACCTTAGTGAAAATAATAAGCCTAATATCAATGTCATGGAAACATAAAGAGATAGAAGGATCAAATTAGAGGAGACATAAAACTGTCAGAATACATAGCAGCAAACTGCACATTATTAATATTCTTTATTAAATTATAGTGCCCTAAAACCATAATTACAATACCCTAACAAACATAAATACAATTGGTATACTCACTCATCCACTGGCCCCAAACCATAACTTTAACCATCGGCAGTACATGCTTAATTAGGGGTGGGTGATCCGAGGATTTTATATCGTGATTGATCTTGAAGATGTCATATCATTGTACCAACTGTAATGGAACAAGCCTAATATTGTGGATCCATGCAATGTTCACAAACCAATAGAATTATTGTCTACTATCATATGTCTCTATCATAGGGTTTCTTTTATGCATATTGTATTTGAAAAACAATTTAACATGAGCTAGCAGCATGGTGGATGAGGAGCTGGTTCTCAGTCAGATATTTCTCAAAGCAAAGTTATCTGTAAACTCTTTTGGGCAATGGACGGCACTTCCAGAGGTAATACGACAAATCTATTCAACCACCTATAAAGAAAGCATCTGCACGATAATGGTAAGAGTGTTTCACTCAAGTTAGTACAACCCCACTCACCTGTATCACATGAAGTCCTGAAACTTAAACAGTTATCATTGACTGAAGCAGTTGAGGAGTTGAAAAAAATATGTACATGGAACATGACCGCCTCAGTCACCTCCTAAAGATATGGTTCTGTTCAAAACTGTGGTATGTGGAATTTAATGATGTAGATGACCATTTTGAGAACAGTGTCTTTAGTGAAATATTATGTTTTAAATCAGCGGTCCCCAAACTTTTTTCAGTGGGGGCCACATCAACTTTCCTTTCTGAGATGGGGGGCCGAGGTTAGTCTATAACAGGAAATGATATGGGCCAGGGTGACAACCAGTATTATTGTGGAGATTACAATGATAATTTGTTGTAGCTGCCCTTCGTTTGGGGGGGGCGTGCCGGCGGGCCGGCGGGCGGCTAGCTCTGCTTGCTGGGCGCAATGCCTGTGCTGGGGCGGGCCGCCATGGGTCATCTCTCATATGCTGAGGTGCCACACCATTAAGACTAGTGTGAATGTCACAACGGAAAAGTTTGTCCAAAGTCCACAAGTTTGGTGTCTACGGACTCGGCTCGTCACGCTGAGTAACATATGTCAGCCCCAGCCTTCTAAGTCGCTCCCTTTGGAAGGGATGCCTCGTTAAACGTCTCCGAGGCACACTTGCTGCGACGAAAAATTTTGTCAAAAGTCCACAAATTGGGTGTCTACGGACTTGGCTCGTCACGCTGAGTAACATATGTCAGCCCCAGCCTTCTGATTCGCTCCCTTCCGAAGGGCCGCCATGGGCAGTCTCTCATATGCTGATGTCAGGTTCCATTCCAGTTACAGCCAGTCTCAGAGTCTGATGCAGGTGTTGATCTGTGAGAATTGATCTCGTCGGATTTTTTATCAGCTTCATGTGTGAAAAAGTTTGCTCACAGATATATGTGCTCCCAAAAACTGTGGACATCTTTGTTGCGTGCTTTCTTATGTTGGGGTAGGTCTCATTTGGGAGGGCAGCATAGTACTTGATCAGACTGTTGGGGCTGAATACGTCTTTCAGCACATCACAGGTCTGCAACTCAGCCAGCTCAAATTGAAGAGAAGGCAGGGTGTCGTTAATGTCGGCAGCAAAAGGGTTCTGGAATGTGCGGATTTCTTTAACGTGGACATGAAGCTCACGGAACCGCACACCGAACTCCGCCCTCAGTGTTTCCAGTGCGTCCTTGCACTTCTCGGTTGGGAACGGGACCGCCGGTTTCTCAGCTGAGAGGCTTCGAGTAGCAGGTAGATGGGTGAAGTCTTGTTTTTGCACCTGTCCAATAAGCAGCGCTAGTTTAAGCTCAAATACTTTGATGTGGGAATACATGTCAGATTAGTTTTCCCTTGCCTTGGAGCTGCAAGTTGAGGCCGTTTAAAATTTCTGACACATCTGTTAATAAAGGCGAGGTCCCATTTCCATTCTGTGTCGATCAGCTCTGGGACAGTTTTTCCCTTTGTCAGGAGAAAGGCATTGATTTCGGGTAGCAGGTCGTAAAAACGCTTCAAAACTCTGCCCCGGCTTAACCAGCGGACTTCAGTGTGGTAAAGCACGTCTCCGTGGGCTGATTCTAGCTCGGAGAGAAAGGCTTGGAACTTCCTGTGTTTAAGTCCGTTTGCTCTGATGAAGTTTATGCAGGACACAACCACCTTCATGACAGATTCCCACCTCAGAACTTTGCAGCTTGACGCTGGCTCGGTCACGATCAAAGTCACGTCAGAATATACCATTGTGTGAGGAGGTGAAGATGAGCCACTATTAACTATAAATAGCTCATAACTATGGTCAATTCTAATTAGAATGCCAACCTTTAAGTACGGATATGTTATGATGTTATGATAGGAAAATGCAATTTAATAAAAATTGGTTGATGTTTAGAGGGATTGTCTGGGATCGTTAAGTGGGCCACTCCAATTGCTTTAGCGGGCCGGATGTGGCCCGCGGGCCGTAGTTTGGGGACCCCTGTTCTAAATGGTGCAAATAGATGATACAAAAAGTCCACATGCTGATTCGAGTGTGGACATGTTCGACAGAAAAATTGGGAACAAAGATTGCACTTCAGATTGTAATTGTGTGTGAAAAAGATTGTGAAATGATTTTTTGGGAAGATCACCCACGCATATGCTTAATCTAAACCTTTGCCCTGAAGTAATCCCAACACTAACTTTTAAATTAGAACATCCTCAAAAAAGTGAAAAAATTTTGTAAGTTTGACACTCAAAGTGGTTCTCACGAAGAAGAAGTGTTAGGCAACACATACAGCCACACAATCCTCGTTCTACTACAATTGTGGGGACCCGTCATTGACATAATGCGTTCCCTAGACCTTATACCCAGACCTTAACCATCACAACTGCATACCTAACCCTAAGACACTAACCCTAACCCTATTCCTAACCTAGACCTAAGTCTTAACCCTCAAACAGCCATTTAAACTTGTGGGTTCCGGCATTTTCGTCCCTACATAACTGTTGGACCCCACAAGAGCAGTAGGTTCCCGTTTTCGGACCCAACAAATATAGTAAAACAAGCCCACACACACACACACACATCTACAACCATAAACTTCCTCAACCCAACCCGGTTTGTTCCAATCACCAACCTTGTTATTAGTGGTGTCCTGACTCCCTGCCCTTAAGTGCCAGGACATTTAAGGCAGCCACAGAGACACTGTCTCCAATTACTGTTGCATGTGTAGCCAAAGCAGAAGTAAATGTGCTGGAAGAAGTCCCTGTGAGTCTACCACCATAGTACAGCAACTGATACTGAACCACAAAAATAATACACACACACACACACACACACACACACACACACACACACACACACACACACACACACACACACACACACACACACACACACACACACCCCCCCACACACACACACACACACAGGATTGGCTCTATGATAAATGTGTATTTCAATAACAATAATAATAATGAACTATTTATTCAGCACTTTTCTTATTGTTTTACAAAAAGAAATCAGCCAAAAGAACATGCGCACAGAAAAGTAAAAACAATAAAAATGAATAAGATCAAATAAATAGCAATATAATAAGTATAAATAAAACATTATATTTTTTATAACTATTTCAAATAAGCATGATGTACTGTGACCGCAAAGGAAAGGCTTATTTTAGACACACATTCATATAGAGTCTATAAATACCACAGGGGACAGTGAGCTAATGCTGGCTGACTGCCAGGCTGAGAAAAACAAGCTGAATAAGGAATATATAGCAGTAAGTTTGTGACAATTGAATGACCACTGATGGGGATCATATCTTACATATATTTTAGTCCTGTATTATAACTTAGGGCTGGTTGCATTTATGAATCTAA